CACCAGCTTTGTCTCCTGCGCCCTCCTCGTCCTCTCAGGTGGAGCGTGAGAATATTTCTGACAGTCCAGAGTAAAAGGTCAGGTTTGGATCTGAAAAGGTCTCATTATCCTTTGTTTGAATTTCAGCTGCAGCACATGAAGTAAAGGATGAGCTGATTTCTTTCTTTTTCTGCTGCCTGACCCAGATAAGACCCCCCCCCCCCCCCCAGCTGATGTGAGGGTGTTGGATTGGGATTAACACTGCATTTTCAGATTTCAGCCTCTAAGATGGAGCCACTTTGTTAGCTTGATGAGCAACAGGAGAGAATTGTCTTTTCCTCATCCTCCTCACCTCTTGGTGGGGGCTGAAGGTTATCTGAGTCGACCCCCCTCCTAAATCCAGCATCCCAACAGTGGGCAAGTCTGCACCGTGAAGACCACCTGAAAAGAGAGAAGGCAGGGAAACAAGAGTTGTAGGATAATCCTATAAAACAGAAAATGATTGGTTCTGATCCAATCAGAGTCAGAACAAAACCGTCTCCCTCCTGTCAAGATAAAAACATTCAATGTCACGTGTCATCCTAATGTTTCGTTATAAACAACAACAACAACAACCTCTAAAGCTGCAATGATGTCGCAGGAGGATCTGCTTATTCTGGGACTGTCTGATAGTCTGGATTAATGTTTCATCTGTAGTCCTGTGTTAAAATCTGAGATGTGATCAGTGTGATGTTTGACACGTGTGTGTGTTTACTACTGACCTGTGAGGAAGTTGATGGTGATCCAAGCAGAAATCCCTGAGGGACAACAAAAATAAATGAACCATACTGCTAAGTCTAGTTATTTCATTAGACTTTGTAAGACCTCATTTTGTAATAACTACACATTATGTAATAATATAATATAAATCTTTAACACATTATGTAATAACATAATATAAATCTTTAACACATTATGTAATAACCTTATGACATTTTGCGGCAATTATTACAAAATGTGGTGGTGTAATAATCTGGTGCATTATGTAATAAACAATCAWAAACCAGTATTTCTGTTCATCCTAATCAATATACTTGTAATTACTGTCATGTTACAAATACTACATAAATAAATCTTTATAACTTTGGTCAATAAACACAGAACTTCTCATCTTTTATTTGCATTTTCAGATTTACTATCCTGATCCCTGTTATAGAAATTATTACACTTTGTAGACAACTCCCAAAATATATCTAAAAGTCAGTTGTACAAGTCAACCCCTTCAGATGTTTACCTGTATAATGAGCCTTAAAATGTGTAATTTTCATAAAAAATAAGTGGGTTTGAAGTGGTTATTTGATGTTAATAATTGTTTTTAACGTCCTACAGGCTCTGACATGTTAGATAAATTTGAAAATGAGGTTTTGAAAAAATCCGTAAGACTTGAAAAAATTTGTGAGATTGCTCTATACGTCCGTATACCTGCAAAATGACGTAAAATACTTATAACTTACAGACAGTCTGTACAAGTTGACATGTATGTTGTTATTTATTTGCTTTCTGAGAAAGCAAATAAATATAAGTTTACCATAGTACCTTACACTGTTACACTGTAAACTTGTTTTTAGGGGTTCAAAATGGGGTGGGTGGGACATAGTTTGGGGGGGGGGGGGTTGCACTTCAACTCGCCTAGGCCTCCAAAATGGCTAGAGCCAGCAGTGAGTGTGAGGATGGAGGGAAAGAAGAGAAGCAGACAGAGGAAGAATCAGAACAGACAGGGGAAGACAACAGGTTGGTCTGATGTTAGGTGGAAGAGATGTTGTTCACATTTCCACCACAGAAAACCTGTTGAGCACTGAGTGACACTACTGTGACACATTTTTACTTTGTGAAACTTTTTTTTGTTTGTTTGTGATTGAGAGGATCACCTGCTGTAATATGTAACATAAAACAAAAGTCCATAATAGAATTACTGTATTTTATAAGTGCATGAATGAGGGAGAGCTGTATGGACATATTGCACCTGTGGGCAGGAGGGGGGCGCCCCTGCCCACAGGTGAGCATGGAAGAAGAAACACTGCAGGGCCACCAGCAGTGTTGTTATGGGGTCATATTGTTTTCGTACTGTTTATTTATTTTTGGTCAACCGTAGCACACAAACAGCTGCACCAGTCAACATGAAATGAGTCAGGACTGTAGATGAGTCTGACCTACACTGCACCAGCCAACGGTTTTATGATAGACCCCATATTTGAGGAGGGGGCTCCTTTCAAAGAGGGGGTGTCAGGACATGTAAAAATGGTTATAACTCAGAAACTGTTCAACATAGAAGCTTCAGATTTCTGTTGTTGTTTATCTCTGATGAAGCTCTATCCATCAGGCCCACCATCAGTGCCCCCTCCCCCCCCCGATCCCCAATTTATCTGAAAAAGGGGTGTCTGTACATACAAAAAAAATGGTCCCCAGTAACATACAACTGTGAAAACCAAGGAGTGGCCAAAGATGAAGCCCATTACGTAGTCTAGTTGTCTCCATCCTCCAGCAGAAAACCTGTGGAGCAGATGAAGTTAAGTCTCCAAGCATCAGTCTAAAACCTTTCAATTCAGAGAGTTTCTGTACAGATAAGTGGGCTAGAATCCCTCCTGACATGTTTTCAAAGATTCAAGGAATTTAATTATTGTCCTACAGGGCAGAGGTTCTCAAATTGGGGTCCCAGGACCCCCAGGGGTCCACAAGCCCTATCTTGGGGGTCCTCAAACAATTTCAATAAATTGTTCTTTTAGATTATATTTGACAAATGAATATGGGGAACAATTCACTAGTAAAACCAACATACTAAACCAACCAAAACATAATATTCTCATAGTATTTAGGTGTTAAAATGACAGTAAAATATTTCTAAAGCAGCATGAGGTTTATGAGGGGGTCCCAGGATTTTTTTCACACTTGTAAGGGGTCCCCAGACCCAAAGAGTTTGAGAACCCCTGCTATAAGGGATATAATAATCATTTCCATCAGTGTATGTCCACATGTGACCGCCCGAGACCAGCTGAACCTGGTTCTAGCTGCTGTGGGATTGTCCCATTCCCAGAGTCCTGAGTCCTGCAGCTCTCTGTGGATGCGTGGGATCAGGAATCACATGTAGGTCCTGTGTTTGAAATGCTCGCCCTGTACAAACACGAAGCTTGCCAGAATATAATCCAATCCTTTTAAAGTAGTTCATACAAGCAATTATGGCCATGTGGGATAATGTCCCACTTAATCTTTGTGGGGGAGGGGACCGATTATCTGTCCTGTTTCTTTCTGAGGCTGAAATGTTTTTTTTTTCTTTTCTCTGAGAGGGATCAACTTGTTACAACCATAAATGCCTCTTAATGATTACTGAATTATCTCTTTAGACCAGTCCACCTCTCCTTCTGTCAGATCACTGTTAATGGACCCATTCCTCTAGTTTCCAACGATAAACTCTTCAAATTCCATCAGTCTTATTATCTTCCAGATATGCTGCAGTTGTTGTAGAGATGCTTATCCCTCACTCAGATTACCCTCTGCTGGTCTGGATGGAAGCGACTTATTGTTAATGGAGATCTGAGAGGTTACCAAGTTCTAAGTGTTGCTGTTTGGTTCCCCAACCTAAAGCCCAGTCCCTTCAGACTTGTATGTTTTGTTGGAAAATTGCTTCTTAACATCTCTGCCTAAGAGTTTTACAGTAAAGCTCCTATGATACAGTTTCTATCAAGCTCTTAAGCATCCACTTCTGCATGCAAGAGGTCAAATGTCACAGATAAAAGGCTCTAATGCATGCAGCTGAGTGCAAACACTCTACCACAGACTCTGTCGTCTTTGAGATGACCTGAAACAGGAAATTCTTCTTTACTTTGCACATTTCCACCTTCACATGGTCTATTTCTACAGCTGCTTTATTTTGCCTACTTCTTGTTACTCTTCAGTAACACTTCAGTAATATTTCATTGACAATGAGTGTTAGAAGAACAGACTGCGTGGTGCTGTTTTCTTTTGCTGCTTTTATTCTCAGTTTCAGTCTTTGTTGCAGAAAAGTGCAAACAAACTGAACGAATGGAGGCCAAAAGAAGAACTTTCTGATCTAAAACCTCTCCTGCAGATGGACACCCGGAGCAATCTCCTGGATCTTTTCAAAAACTCAGCGTCATATTTATTTTCTCTCGGAGCCTGTAGGACATAAAAGATTTAAATAACCCAATCATTACCCCGTTTCACCACTCCTCCCTGTTATCTTCTGCTTTGTGCTGCAGCCTGCACTATCTGCAGCAGACCCAGGCCCGTTTCATGTTCTGATCAGAACAAACGCTTCAAAAACAACAGTATTTAAAGACCAGTACAATTCACAACATTTAACTTTTATTTAAGAACCTATCCGCTTAATTCAGGTTTGTTTTTATCAGTTAGCTGCTTGTTGTCACTAATCTAAAAAGGCATAATTTTATAAAACTTACATCAGAGTTAAAAACAACAGTGTGTCCTCAATCAATAAATAAAAGCATAAAAAAGATGGAGCGAAGCGACCGTAAGGTGGGAGAATTGGATGTTATCTCCAGCCTGACCACCAGATGGCAGTAACAGCTTCAGAATGACCCTTTAATCTGTTCAATCTCACTGATCAGACCTGAATGTTGGAGAACACCTCATTCTAATTCCAATCTATAAACTGCACCTGGATTATTAACCTTGATGAAAGCCATCAGAAGTTTGTTCAGCTTCTGTCTGACTCTCAGTGATCTGACCTGACTGCAGAAACAAACTGTCTGGTGTCCTGCAGAACCCATCAGGTCTGTCTCTGCTTCACCTGATGCTTCTGATGTATGCATCTGATTTACTCTGCCTCCAGGAAAGATGAACCAGACCTGAACCAGACCAGACCTGCTGGTCTGAACCGGACCAGACCTGCTGATCTGAACCGGACCAGACCGGCTGACCTGGTTTATTCTCAGTTTTATTAGGAGCCACTGATCAGTCAGTACATGTTACCTTCATCAGTTCCGTCCATGATGGACACACCGTCCTCCCTGGACATAAAGGGGGACTCCTGGAACAGAACCCTCACCTGAAAATAATGAACATGAACAACAACAAAAATCACCAGGACATAAACAACAACAGATCAGATTTTTCTGTAAAAGTTGTAAAGGTTTGAACTCATATTAGAAGTGGAATATGTTGTGATTTGTTGATCAGTTTTCTGGTTCTGATCCAAGTTAACGTCTGGTCCTCTGTTGTTTTTAAGACTAATATGTTAATGTAGGTTTCTATCTGCTAATTTTCTCCTGTGTATCTGACTAAAGATCTTACAGAGTTCTGAAGAAGTTCTAGTGTGAAGATGTCGTTGGGTTAAAAAGCTCAGGAAGGGGGGATGTGTCCTAGCTAAGGTGTCTCAGAGAACATTTAAAATGTATTAATGGGTTACAGGTCCTGGTTTGGAGTCACAGATGAGATTTAAAAAAGGATTTATTGTTTTGATGTTTGGACTGAAACGTTTAAAGTTCCTGACTGTTCCTGCTCAGTGTCCCCATCAAAGAAATGACCTGCATCCGTCCTCGACGGGGGACATCAGCGATGGTTCGCATCAAGTTTGATCCTGTTAAAACTGAACTGCAGCTTGTTGTTTGGGTCAGATGACAGTTATTTTGGTTCAAACTAAGAGAAAAACCTCATCAGAGGGAAACTATTTGAGCTGTGAACACATCTTCACCTCTTCACACACATCAAACTGACATAAATAACTTCTCCTCCATCTAAACAGCCTCAAACAGAAAACAGGAGGCCTGTTTCTGCAGAGCGTCTGATTCTGTTTGATTAGATTTATTTATATTTTAATGTCAAAAATTTAAAGCCCTTCCCCCTCCCCTCAGAGTGTAATCTGCTGAATCAGGTCCAGTCTGATCATAAGAGCGAAGCTGCAGATTAAATCCTGTTCTGGCTCTCTGCTGCTGTCCTGTTAGCTCTGATTAAACACTTAACCATTTTCACTTCTCTGGATTCAAACCCAGGATGAAGAGGAGGAGGAGGAGGAGGAGGAGGAGGAGGAGGAGGAGCGCACTTCATCAGCCTGCTGTCAGGAGTTTAATGAGGTAAAAGCAGCTGAATGTGAACCGTGCAGAGATCACTGATCAGAACGGTTTGATCAGTTTCTGATCCGGTTAGGGCTTTGTTTCTGAAGGAAACAGTTTTCTAAGTTCTCCAGAATACGCTTGCTTTCTTTTACTAAACTAATATAATTTAAAAAAATTAAATAACATTTTTGTTTTATTTTTATTTTAAAAATCTAATTTGACTGTATTTAATATTTATAAATTTTTAAAGTATTTTTGCTGTTTTTATACTTATTTAAAACGGTCACAGTCTGAGTGTGCATTAATCATGTTTCTCTCTTGGTTTCTCTGGTCCTGCAGCTGTTCCTCATTAGTCCTGTCTGTTCTGGCCCCTCTCCTCAGGTATGTGTTGTGTTAACAGTGGCTGTGTCCAAAGTCAGGGGATGCATCCATCGAAGGCCGATCATGGCACAACAACGGGTCGAAGGCTGTTCCCCCCCATGCTCCAGTTTAAAGGAAGGGTCCAGTTTATTCTTCACAGCCCGTCCTATCCCACGATGCACTGTGGGATGACCGAGGCTCTGTCTCAATTGATGGGCTGGGTCTTCATGAGTATGTAGCCCAGCTGGACATGTGGGCCACATCCTCTGCTGGCTGTGTAGGCTGCTCAAACTGCAGTGAAATGAGACGGTCTACCCTTCACTTGATGTAAGTTTGTGTGACCACGTGTTACCCTGTTACCACAGGGATCTGTACCAAATTTGATACTTTTTAAGCACAGACCGAATTCCGTCAGTACTACCGAGTATCTATTCACGTAACAGTGTTTACGTTAGCATGGCTAATAATAGCAGAAGCTCCGTTGTACAACCATATGAGACCCAGAGGCAGAGTCGTGGTCCCAGCTTCTTTTTTTTCTCCCTCCTCTGCTCTGCGCTCACTCTGCATGCTGTTACCAGAGCAGGGAGCAGCAGCGGTCAAAATACCTCAGAAACTCAAACAAATAGGCTTTAACAAGGCTTTAATAAGATAAACAATAGAGCTACATGAGAAAACGTGTTCATAACGAACAAAAATAAATAAATAAATAAATAGTGTCTGTGTCAGTCTCAAACCCTGGTCTCTCTCTGGTCCAACACTCTACCCACTGCCCTATAGGGGACTTGTTGTGAAATGAGCTACACATTACACAACAACACTGTGATGACTTTTTATACTGGGGAGGAGTCTCACCCGGGGGTTGCTAGATAAGGGGCTGAACACAGGTTCTGGTGGGTTGTCGTACGGCTTGTGACATCACAAAATGACGGACGTATAAAACTTGTCATTAATATACATTAAAATACATTTACTTACAGTAAATATGTACCTGGGTGCATTTTTTTTGGTCCTAGGACTGTTTTTTTAAGAAGTACATACCCAAAGTTGAGTAAAGAAAACCTTTAAAAAGTGAATTTTGCATAATAGGTCCCCTTTAACTCCATCCTCTTTTGCAGTACTGAGTCCCAGGTACCAGATATTGGTACCAAATCGATTCAAATACCAAAGGTACCAATCCCTAGTTACCACAGGGATCAGTTTTATATCAGACATAAAATGCATCAGGATGTGTATTTACTCGTCTTTTAACTGGAAGAATAACTTCACAGTTAAAACGTTACACATAAATAAATAAAAAAACTAATAATTCAGGTTTATCTCCAGTATCAGCACTTTCATTTGCATTTTTTTAATTTAACGTCTTATTGCAGCATGAATTTCATCAGCTAATTTGCTAAACTTACTTTTAAAAACAAATTCTTCTGTCCGAGGTGAATTTCCAAACTGCGCCGACTCGTTAAAATAATAAAAACCCCACCGTCTTTGTTTCTCTCTTTATTTTCACACTGAATCCTGGGATATCCTCAGCCGGTGAGGGTACTACGACACATCCTCAGATTTACAGAGTTTGTCGGCCACATGAGGAGGAGCCTTTGAATTGGGACAGCACTCGGCGCGGGGCAGTGATGTATGTGGTCGATAAATGTGCCCTCATGAGTGGGTCCTCATGCCCCTGACCTGAGACACAGCCTGGGAGAGACTGTTGGTTGTAATGGCCCATGAAGTGAGAGACAGGAGCACAGTTTGAAATAAAAATCTGTACAAAAATAAAAAGTTTAAAGCGGTTGTGTTGTTGGGCTTTTGTCATTTGTAAAGACTTGTTTGTTTAATATTATTCTTGTCAGAAATCATTGTAAATAACCACATATGGCACGTCCCTCAGTTCTTCTTGTTTTGCCTCTATACTAGTTTTGTTCATTTATAATCGCAGCAGTTAACAAGAAAAAGAAAAAAACTACTGTTTACATGTCATTTCCCCTCATGGGATCAATAAAGTGTCATTCATTCATACTTCACTATGCATGACTTACAATGGGAGGAGGAATATTTCAGTTTTATACAAGGAAATATTGAAACTTGTTGTGGTTGTACATTAAAAACGTTTAAACTTGTGCCGTCACGGTTGTAGGCGACAGGACGTACGCTGGGATAAGTGTGGGAATAAAGCTGAAAGGTAAACAGTTTAAACTTATTTTTTGCGGTTGACAAAGGATCCAGCCCATGTGGACCAGAAACTCCGGGTGCTTCGAGGGATGCAGCCTCTGAACGCAGCCTGAGTGGACTGCATTGTGTGCGTCTTTCCCACTCGTTACTGCTTCCTCCTGTCCGTTCCAGCCTTTAAGTTACCTTTTGTTACCTTGTCAGCCGTTAGCTTTTGTTTTGTTTAAAGCGCCTGTGACATCAAGTTTTCAAAATAAATATGAATGTACGTTTGGAAAGATAACACTGAAAACATAAGGTAAAAAAGATTTCACGCTGCTGAGATGAACTGTTGTTGAGATATCGGCATGAGAAGAAACAGGAAGTGATGTCAAAGGGGAATGTCTGAATGTAAACTGAGCGTTGCTAAAATGGCTAACAACACAGACTGTAGAGAAGAATCTGATGTTTCTTTAGATTATTTTAATCACTATCATAGAGAGATGAGGAAGAGTCAGAGTTCAAATAATATTGTTTCAATGAACAAAAACCAGGGAGTTTTATTTCTCAAAGAGTTCCCCTTTGATGTCACTTCCTGTTCCACTTTAGCTGAGCCAAGGTTAAAAGAAAATATGCCAATTATTTCATATAATGGTTCAAATCATGCCCAGTTTCTTAAATATAAATATATTTTCTTTGACTTTTTGTACTTCATGGATATGCATGTCAAAGGCACTTTAAGTACTCCTGTATTCAAAGTCCTTTCAGTCTGCACGGGTTCAACCAAACATGATAAAAATAAGAATTAAAATCAATTCGAGGACATGAAAGGGTAGTTACTAATAAAACAATGAAAACTGAAATATGGACTTGATTTGTTCCACAGACAGAGATAAACAGTCAGAACAGGTGAGGTGTGTCTCTCACTGTGTCCAGGAGCTGGTCAGCCTTTTGTCCAGGCAGCAGTCTTAGACCGGCTGTGGCCTTCAGGACCACAGGGGTTCTGGTCCACATGGAGGGAGGTACACTGGACTTGGCCACATCCAGGAGTTCCTTAATACCTGCAGAACACTGGAGACAGAAGGGACAGATGAAGAGTGATACAGCCAGCCAGAGACAGATCAACTAGACACAAGCTGTGTTTCCATTGCAAATGTTCACAAAACTTTGTTGATATTCTGTTAATGTCGAAAAAACACAGTTTCACAACTGCAGTGTTTCCATTAAGTAATAAATGTTATTAAAGTCACGTGAATACGTTTGTTCTCATGATAAGTCATTACAAACATGGCAGCGATGGATGTAAACACATAGCATGTTGCTACCACGACACTAGCGCTCATCATCAGAGGAGACGTCGACGTCTTTTATCGAGGCTTTCCAGAGACAAGTCCCTACTTGGGAGCGGCTACGTATGCTGTGTTTTTGGGAAATTGTAGTCGSTGAGTTTACTATTTTATACTACTTCTGTGATATTACTACTACTTCTACTTCCTGTTATCTTCTTCTTCATCGTCTTTTTCACCAGTAGAAACAGACGGTTGTTGATCACGTGACTCCTGTGATGTGAAAAAAGTGTTTCCATTACAGTTTTGTGAAAAACACCAATTTCCATACGGCTGAAAAACCACCTCATCCTAGTGCAAAAATATTTTGTCAAAAAATTTAATTTTTTTCTAAATCGACGTGTTTCCATTGAGCAATTTTATTTTCGAAATTCTAATTTGCGCATTTTCATGGTGAATGGAAACACAGTTACAGACTGAGACAGAGATAACAGAGACGACACTTCAGTCCTGCTGTGAACAGAACTGTCAGAGGTGTTCCTTCTGATTCAAACTGTTCAATACAAGTTTTAAAAATCATATCATACTCTGTTATTTGATACAGAAATATGTGATTTCTTTATGATCAGTATTTAATAGGGGTGTAAGAAAATATCGATACACTGAAATATCGCGATATTTCATTTCCCGATACTGTATCGAAATTCCAAAGCCCTGTATCGACTTTTAATTAAGGTTTAAAATGTCAACCTTCTTGCCAACTGTTCATTTTTATGTTGTAGTTCAGCCTCTGACCACTAGCTGGCAGCAGTGAGCCAGCCATTTGGCTCCTCTACCTCTTGAGCACCAGAGAGTAAGGGTAGCATTAGCATTGTAGGAGACAATGTAAGCATTGTGAGTAAACATTAGCTTTTCTTTGTTTTTCCAGTAAGAGGTTTTTATTTAATAGAATTTTTGGACAAAAAAATCACAATATATCGCAATATATTGCCTTGCTTACAGTATCGCAATATATCGGGATATATCGAATCGTGACCCCTCTGTTATGATATGTATCGTATCGCCAAATTCTAGCGAATACACAACCCTAGTATTTAATGAGGTTTTAATCACCCACCCTGTATGTGATTTTTTGTACAGTGCCCTTAGATTACTTATTTTTGATTTGTTTCAGTAAACCTTTATCTAAGAAATACTCTTTTTTGTTCTTCCTTTGCCCCCCTGTGGTCTCTGTATGGATGCAGTAAAGCTTCAGTACCTTTTGTGGATCATCAGCATACGCTGATAGTCCTGGTTTAATGGCTCTAAACATCTCGTGGTCCAGTTTAGGAGCTCCTAAAGGAAACAGAAAGATCATTGTCATAATCATCATCTCCCAGGCAGAAACCTCCGAATTTGTCTAAAAC